CTGACCCAAGGATTCCTCTCATATTTGTGCATATTGCATACAAGTAAAGACACCCATGCACAACGCCAGGGAATCTTCAAGCAGACATCTCCGAGGTGCCAAACGCATACAGACGGCACTGTATTTAGCAGGGCTGGAGCCGAGGGGGCCTCCAAGGATTTCGGGAAACCATGGATAATTTGCCATTTTCCTTGCTCTGTCACTGAAAGACCCCTCTGTTTCCCCCCCTCCTGCCTCGTTTCCCCCTCCATTTTACACCCCCTTCCACAACTGTCATGGGTCATCAATAAGGAAAATAGGGAATTGTTTCCCCTATGCAACCCCACCCTGCCGCTGTTATGTGGAAACCCGACTGCTTGCAAGTCTGCAGTGCGCTTCCCACCCAGAGGAAGGGACACCCTGTGTCTTACGGTCCCTCCAGCCCTTCCTCTAGAGCCGCAGAGACGTCTCGGTCTTCTATTCCCAAAAAAGGTTGGGACTTTAGTTTTCTAGCCAGCTAGGGATCTCTCTAACAGAGCATTTGTCGGACTTCGGGGGTTTCTAAAGGGGGTGGGGTGAGTGGCAGAGAGGCCACAAAGGACAGCGAGGCTGTGGATACTGACTCCAGATGAAGTCATGCCCGTGGTCCCTGAGCCACTGACAAAGCTGAGGAAAATGTCCAGCACAAACAGCAATCTGGGTCCAGCCCTGGACTCTGTCCTGTAAGCGTTTTAACTTGGTGCCATTTTAAAGGCCTGAAATTTGACTTATACGCAACAGATTGTTTTGTTTGTGCCTCAAGCACATTCATTTTTATACATAAATGTTTATAATCTACCACCACTTTCCCCCCAATCTTGTCCTTCTCTATGAAAAAAAAAATAAAGTCAAAGGCCTGTAGAGACCCTGGAAATCTGCACCACCCTGACAGCCCACCCCCACCCCTGCTTCTCATAATGCAGAAACCCCATTTCAGCACCATCATTTGAAGTGATCCCAGGAAGGTCTTCCCCATAATGAAGTAAACTGCCTCCCACCTCCCCTTGAAGCCCTGAGTCAGGTTTCTAAGGCTGCCTAGACTTAGGTGTGCCTGTGGCCCTTCCCTCATCTCCCACCCCAGAAGCCAAACCGCCAGAGCATCCTTATCTTCTAAGACCTGCGCCTCACCCACTCTAACCTCCCAGCTGATTGACAGCTGGATGCTTCACACATCAGGTAGTGGGAACACCTGGTGCAGCATGGCCACCCCAACACCTGCTGTGGTTGGACCTATCAGGTGCCCGGATCACATCCTATTGTTCCCTGGGAATGGGAGTGCCCACAGATGTGCCCCTGGGCTGGGTGAGATTTAGGTGGCAGGAGAAACTTTCAGCTCCCCAGCAGGGATACGCACCCTCATAGCATCTGGTTCTATCCTCAGAGGATCCTATAGGAGTGGTCCTCCAGCCTCATGTACTAATACAATGCACTTGTATTAGTACCACCCCCCCCGCCCCAGGAAGTGGGCGCTGCAAGAGCAGAAAGAGCTGGAGATGGCTGCCGCGTCAAGCCACCCATGGCCAGAGAGGAAAGGTGGGAAACAGCAGGAGAAAGCCCAGGTCCACTTGTGCACACAGGAAAAATGTCTTCCCTGGTCAGATGTAGGCCACATCAGGCGGGACACATGGCTTTTTGTGGCAAACAGGCTGAGGCACTTACACAGACACATGTCGCTCCTTGTCTCTTCTGCCAATGCCCTTGCTCGGGGGGGGGGGAGCAGGGGGGGACGTGGAGCAAACATTAGCAATAGCCCTCCTGAGAGAGAATTCAAGAGGAAAAGACCAGCATAGCCATTCAGGGCCCACCACAACTGTCTCTCATCTCTACAGCCAACCCACCCCACTCCACCTCAGTTTTCTATTTATACCTGACCCTTCTTTCAGAGCCTCTCAAGGCTGACTCTTCCGAGAACCATCCCTGAACACTCCTTTCCTTTTGGGAAGTGTTCTTCAGATCTGTTCTTAAGGCCCCTCTCAACACCGTGAGATAGATGCCCACGGCTGTCCCTCACAGCTACGTCTCCCCTCCTTCAAGACCATAGCCTGGCTGACACTCTTTAGAGAGCTCACTCAGGCCAACCCACAGTGGGTGCTTAGAGTCTATCTGCCGGTGGAGTGAGACAGGAAAGCACGGGTGGGCTACATGGGGTGGCCTGGGGGAAAGACCCCCTCATCTCATACCTGAGTTTCCCATGTATGAGCTACAGGGACTCTATTAGCACTGAACCCCACAAAACAATAGCTAAGGAGTCAGGGCCTCTCTCAGCCAGTTACCCCAAAGTCCTGCACCCAGGATTACTACAACAGCCAGCCTGGAGCAAGCCATGCACCTTGTCTCTCGGTTTCTAGGCTTTCTTGCTAAGCCACAGACACTAACCTGGCAAACAGGAGCAGGGAAGCCCCACTCGGCAAAGAGAGTGCTTCGGGCAGTGCGTGAGAAGGCTGGAGAGTATGCTGAGGAGATAGTGGGGGAAAGTGCCACAGGGCAGGTCAGCCTGGTCAGAACTTCTGCTAGCTCCTGGCCACCTCTTTTAACCACTGGTCAACGGCTCTTCCAGGTTGTCACCATGATTTGAGTGACCTTTTAAAATGTCACCAGTTCAGAGCCCAATTTCACGTCGATGGACTGAACTTTAAATCGCGTGGCCTAATTGTCAAACACAACATGAATGCACTTCTGGGCTCTTATGTTATCCAGGAGGAAGGCACTTTGAGAGCCTGAATCTTGACAGACATCTGCTTCAAGAAAAGGGGTCAGTATGAGCTCAATGGTGGGACCCCAAAGCCTCAGAATGTAACCTTAGTTGGAGCACCTTGGAAGACGTGAGGACCCGGAGCCAGCAACTCTCCTTAAGAAGACGTGGAGACACAGGAGGCAGAGCTGGCTAGTCCCAGTTATGAATTAGTGAGACAGGGACATCCAGGAGTCACAACTAGGTAGGTAACAGACAAGCAACATAGGCCCCATCCAGCCCTTTAGACAGGCATGACGCCTGGAACCTTGGTTTTGGGCTTTGGGCCTTCTGAGCTCCGGGAGAACAACCTTGTGAAGATTTAACACACCCACTTTGTGGAAGTGCAAAGAAACAAACACAGGGTCCAGCCATGTCACAAGGCCAGGCTGCTGCTGGTATGCTGGGGCCACCAGAGGTGGGCACAGGGACAGAAAGGGGCAAGAAGCAGGGACTGCCCCTTAGTACTGTTGCTTGCAGGACTCCCAGTGGCCCTTGGGCTCCCGAGATGCCCCAGGATGGTCAACAGTTACTCCTTCTCACTTAGTCTGATTACAGCCATGTCCTGTCCCTTCCCACAAAGCTCCTTAAGTCCTTATCTGTAACCGTGTCTTCGCTTTCCATCTGGGTTGCATCTCCACTGGCTGTCGGAGAGGGAAGCAGCTGAGGGGCAAGGGCAGGCAAAGACACCTAGCCTTCTCCATGGAGGTTCTGGTGTCCCAGGCAGAGCTCCTTTGATGACAGCAGACCAGGTGCATGCCTGAGGCCACCACTCAGATATCATGGAGGAGGACCTTCAGAGTGTTACTTTTGTTTGTAATACCTGACTCCACAATCCAGAGTTGTTCCTTAGTGAATATTTCCTCTCAGGAGCAGTTGAGAGGTTGCCTGGACCTCTATTGCTCTCTGGCAAACAAGAAACTTGAGCTGTAGAACGAGAACCCTCTGTTGGGTTGGAACAGGCAAGTTTATAGCCAAACGGGCAGAATGGTTGGGGCTGGAATCCCACCATGTGCTTGCTCGCCCTCTGTGGGGCAGCTCTCTCTTGCCCTTAGCCAACTGGTACTGGTGTGGGTCCCTGAGGCTGGCACCATTCCAAAACGTGAGGATTCTTGGAAGTGGAGATAGCAAGGTTTCAGAAGGGGGGGTCTTTGAGGGGGTAAGGTGCTCACGGCGGCGCGCGGGCGGGGTGGGGGGCAGCTCGGTCTGGAAACTCATTGGACCTTTCCTTCCCTCTTGATCTTTTCTTCATTAACCTTAGCGGAGCAGGGACACCTGTCCCTCCCTGAGCCTTGTGGCTCTTTGCCTTATGGCTCTGTGCTGGTTCCCTATCTCGACGATTAGTCAATCAGAGGGCGCGGCTCACCCAAACCCGCACAGCTTTAAAAAGCGCCCTGACCAGGAACATCACTGGCCAGCGCTACACTTCTGTCACTTCATCTAAGTAAAGGGACGTGCGGTGGCTCGGAAGAGGGGAAACCACTCGTTCAAATGCACGCGAGCCCTCAATAGCAGGAGAAGGGATGCGAACCCAGACTCCAGCCTCAGCCCTAGCTCTTCAACACAAGTTACACTGCTCACGCTTTCTGCCAGGGCTCCGCCTCCCGATCCCACCCCGGCTACCGGCGCCCGCGCTGCCCTGGGAGGAGCGTGCCTCGGCCGGCCGCTAATCGCCCCCGGCCCCCGCCCCCGCCCCGGTTTCCCTGCCAGAGACTCCCGGCCCCCCTTCTCTCGATCTGGCTCCTGGAGCAGGCAGGGCCACCGATTGGCCGGCGGTAATTACGGGCACGCTCCAGGAGGGGGGCTGGGCGGGGGCGGCCTCCAGCGAGCATAAATTATGCAAATAGCCGGCGCCGCACGGGGCTGACCTGCCGCCTCGCTCCATTCACCCGCGCCGCCTCCGGGGCGGAGGTGGCCAGGGAGGGGGGCGCCCATTGTTGCGCTCCGTACTTAAGGGGTCCTGAGGCCGGTCGTGTGCCACACTCGGTGCTCACACGAGCTGATCTGATCGCCGGCGACATCACTCGGGAGACCAGCCGGGCGCGTGGCCCCTGCAGGCGAGGCTAGGAGGCCAAGCCCATTTCCCCCTCCTGGAGTCCCTGCGATCTTCCCTGGCCCTGCAGCTGGCACAGACTAGCCCCGGGTCGTACCGAACGAACGTAAGTGCGCCTCGACGGTCGGGCAACTCGACCCACACTCAAGCCCTCTAAATTTCCTCCTGTCCACCTTGTCGGTCCTGCACACTACAGCGATGCCTGCTCCTCTGGAGACCTGCCTCTCCGACCTCGACTGCGCCAGCAGCAACAGCAGCAGTGACCTGTCCAGCTTCCTCACGGACGAAGAGGACTGTGCCAGGCTCCAGCCCCTAGCCTCCACCTCGGGGCTGTCCGTGCCAGCCCGCCGAAGTGCGCCCACCATCTCGAATATTCCTGGCGCGCAGGACGAAGAGCAGGAACGGCGGCGCCGACGAGGTCGCACGCGAGTGCGGTCCGAGGCGCTCCTGCACTCCCTGCGAAGGAGCCGTCGGGTCAAGGCCAACGATCGCGAGCGCAACCGCATGCACAACCTCAACGCTGCCCTGGACGCGCTGCGCAGCGTGCTGCCCTCGTTTCCCGATGACACTAAGCTCACCAAGATTGAGACGCTGCGCTTCGCCTACAACTACATTTGGGCGCTGGCTGAGACACTGCGCCTGGCAGATCAAGGGCTCCCCGGGGGCGGTGCCCGGGAGCGCCTCCTGCCTCCTCAGTGTGCCCCCTGTCTGCCTGGCCCCCCCCAGCCCTGCCAGTGACGCGGAGTCCTGGGGCTCCGGAGCCGCCTCCTCCCCCTGTGCCACAGTAGCTTCGCCACTCTCTGACCCCAGTAGTCCCTCAGCCTCAGAAGACTTCACCTATGGCCCCGGCGACCCCCTTTTCTCCTTCCCCGGCCTGCCCAAAGACCTGCTCCACACGACGCCCTGTTTCATCCCGTACCACTAGGCCACTGTGGTGGGCAACTTTATGGCCTTCTTCTCCCCCCCCCCCCCCCAGTCAGAGAGCAATAGATGGGGAACCAGCTGCGGCCTCAGGGACCACCCTCAGCTCCCCCACCAGCCAGGTGGATACTGGGAACTTTAAGGGGTGGGGGACACCTGCCTACTTGTTAGGTCGCTGCACCCTTGCTGAGGAGGCCGCTTGGTCTGTTTCTCCAGCACCAGCCCCTCCTGCCTGCCCGCCCTCAGAAGGCCTTTCGTTCTGCACTTTCTGAACTCCACAAAACCTCCTTTGTAACTGGCTCAGAACTGACCCCAGCCACCACTTCAGTATGATTTGGAGAAGGGACAGATGAGCCCCTGAAGACGAGGTGAAAAGTCAATTTTACAATTTGTAGAACTCTAATGAAGAAAAACGAGCATGAAAATTCAGTTTGAGCCGGCTGACAATACAATGAAAAGGCTTTAAAAGGAGACACAAGGACTGGGCTTCATGCATTATGGATCCCGACCCCCACCACTGTGGGCTTGCTCCAGGAAGAACCTGAGCTTGCATAGCTATTCAGGCGCTGGGCTAGAGGGTATTTTAATTTATTCAGGATGCTTCATTCATATGAAAATGTATTTTTGTACATAAAGAGTTTATTCTATTATTATGAGCTATCAAAGTTTACGTTTTTGTACTGCAGATGCTTCATGTAAATAAAAATAAGAAAATGATAACTCACCAGCTTCTTTGCCTGATATTAGTGTCTCTGGGGCTTTTTTCCCCTTACCCTTGTCGGCTCCACCTGTAAAGTGAAACATTATCCCACGGTCTCCAAACCCTCCAATCCCATTTCAAAAACAACTTACAAATAAGAACGCACCTGACTTCCGCCAAGACTGAGACAGATTAGGGCATTTATGAACCACCATTTCTTTTTACCTTGTAAACAAGGGCGAATTTACAGGCACCCCGTAAGCCAATTAAGACTTTTTAGTGGGGAATTAGCCCCGGATCTGCAGCTACCTGTAGAGGTAGGGGCTGAGGGAGGCTTTTGAGGAGCTCTGCATCAGCTGGCTCTGTGTTTCAAAGGAGGGGATTAAAAAGATCAATACGGCGTGGCCAGTGGTTAGGAAGCCCCAGTGACAGGTGGGCCTGGGCTGGGCAAGCAGAAGGGTCTACTCTTGGAGCGCCTATTTAGAAGGGGAAATTGATTTGTAAACAATGCCTTTAAAGTATTGTCTATTGAGGCTGAGGTCACCCTAGCTGTGAGGATGGGGTGAATTGTGCTGCTGTGAAGTCCCTGAGTGCGGTCTACAGCTGCCTTAGAATTGTGTGTTAGGGTGCCCATAGCCCACCACACACAGGCATTTATACTCACTGTGTCTCCCAGTGTGGGGGAGGGGCTCCCAGAGAAGAGCTTTTGCTCAGCCAGTCTTCAGGCCATGGCCAGGGCTTTCATTTGTTGCCAGAGAAATCCCACTAGGGACTTGTCTGGGGTCTGGCAATCGGCTGAAGACATTGGTGGGCCAGAAGCAGCTTTGGCTTAAAGTTTCAGAATGGGGGTGTTTCCAAGAAGCTCCTTCCTGTAGTGCTGTCACTTCCTGTAGCCCCATCTTGCAAGTTACCCCACAGTAGGACAGCAGCCCCCTACCCCGCACACTGGGCAGCCCCTTCTGATGAATGCAGTTTGGGGGGGGCTTGTAGGACTCTGCTTAAGAAAACGCCTCTGATGGAAGGCATCACTTCTTGTGCGTTGTCCTGGTGGTTTGGATCCACAGAAATTCATAAGTCAGGGCCCAGCCAGCATCAATTGCTAAGCTCTGCCACAGGCAAGATGCCCTGTGTCAGATAAGAAGGCTGCCTTCCAGAGGGTTTTGGAAAATTGGATGCCTTCTCTAATTGACCCAGAGCAGGGAAAGAGTACTCTTAAGATTTTGGAGAAAGTTGTGACGCCTGGGATCAGACTCAATCTTTCCTTCTAGAAGCTGCCTCTAGGAAGGCCCAGCCTGGGGCCTGTGGAGATACCAGTCCTCTAGGCCACCAGTTGTGAGCTTCCTAGAGCAAAATGAAGCTGTCTGCTCCAGGTGTTGGACTCTTTCTTACAGAGGGTGCTGGGAAGTGACTCTGACCTCAGGAACACCAGAAGCATTGTCCTTTAGGAGACTCTTCAGCCATGAAGTCGTTGTAGTTTCTATGACAGGAGAAGGAAACATCAGGCTGGGTTTATCCCCTCTCAAATCCTTGGGAAAAGCTGACAGATAATAGCAGGAGGGCTGGAGTTAGCTAACACCCAACTGCCTTCAGCACAGGAAAACAGGGAGACATCTTTCCCAAGACCCAAGAACAGTACCCCATCTTCTCTATTTGGTTGCCACAAAAGGCTCACAACTCCAAGGTGTAGGACTCAGAGTCCCTTTCCAGAAAGGAAACAATCTTCAAAGACACCCGTAGTGGAGGTCATCTCTACCCATGATGGTTTCTACTGTCCTTCCTAGGAAGCACACACCTCTGTAAGTACAAATATAGTAGCTCTCCCACAAGAAAAAAAAGGGAGGGGGGGGGAGGTAATTTAAAATGCTTCTCTCCTGCTCAGGGGGCCTCTTTATTCCTACAGTATGGCCTCATTCATCCCCTCACATGGGGGGAGAGTGCTAAAATGCTCTAACCAGTTAAAAGTATAGAAATGCCCATTGACAGTCAAATTTGGCTACCCTCATCCCTTGTCCACTGAGAGATCAGCACACCCTGAAGACTCGTTTGTCCTCTCCCTCTGTCTCTGTCTTTGTATAACATTTTTATAAGCTTCTCCACAGCCAGCTGAAAATTAGGGGGAAAAAGACTAGGATGAAAGAGTAAAAAGGAGATAAAATGCAGAAACAGGGGGATCTCTGGGAGTTCAAAGCCAGCCTGGTCTACAGAGTGAGTTCTGGGACAGCCAGTGCTCTATAGAGAGACCCTGACTGTAAAACAGACAGATAGACAGACAGACAGACAGACAGACAGACATACAGACAGTTACCCCCACACATACACCCAGAGAGAGGGGGGGGAGAGAGAGAGACAGAGAGACATTAGAGACAGAGAGACAGAGACAGAGAGAGATCTTACTCCTCTTGTTTTTTCAATGACAGCTCCTCAAGCCCCTGCTGCATACTAATAAGCACTGGAGTAATTAAGACAAAGTCCTTGCTCAAAAGCACCCTAAACATTCTAGTAGGCAGAGATAAAAATGAGCTTACGATTGACTGTGAAGTGCTCAGAATGGGAAAGAAAAAAAAAAAAAAAGAATGAGATAAGGGGACTTTGAAATGCCAGTGGGAGAAAAGGTTTTGAAAGCCATGGTCTGAGGAAGCCTTTTAATGGTGAGTCACTAGGAGAAAGGCCTGGACTTGAGAGTCAGTGTCATAGCATCACTGTGAGTCATGTGATTCAGGGTAGGGGACTGGGTACCTTTAGAGGTAAAGCCTTCGGGAGGGGAGGGTCTCAGTTCTCCAGCATCTCCCAGGGTTGGACTTGAAGCCTCTCTGCTTCAATGCTGTGCAATGAAGCCAGCACAGGAGAAGGCCGGCTATGCACACAGATGAGGGGCATCACACTCCCCCCCTGAAGGCTGAGAAAGTCCTGGCCACCAACAGCCTGTTTTCAGAGAACAGCAGGCAGGGCTGAAGCAGAGGGCTCGAGGTGAGTGAGGGAAGAGAGAGCCAGGAAGGGCCATCCAGATCCTGTTGAATCCTGGGAACTGCTATACGAACTTGAGGGTCCCCATCCAGGGTTTGGAGGGCCGAAAGGTTGCGGTCAGAGGGGAGATGTATAGGACTCATGGTCTTAAAAGCCACTGTGGTTGTGACACAGAGAACAGAGCTGGGGGGGGGGGGACAGGGCAGAGTCTGGGACTAAACTGAGCACTTGGGAGTTGTTCCTAGAGATGATCCTGCCATCTTGTTCCTAGCGTGGTGGAAGGGCTGAAGAGTGGTTGTTACCAGACAGTTTGAAGGCGGAAACTCCAAGACTTGTGCAGCACTTGAAGACAGAGGGGTCAGAGATGACCTCACAGATTTGAACCAAGAACCAGGAGACATGTGGCCGTCACCCCCAAACTATTCCAAATGCTGAAGCATACTTAGCTCAGCCAGAAACTGCTCATTTTAGATCCCAAAGCGAAGACATAAACCTGGACTGCAGTGCCCATAAAACATGGGCCGGCTTGTTAAAATATTAACAAGGCTTGTGCCACAAAGAATTGCAATGCTGTCTGGTGTAGGAGGAAGTCTGATGCCACCATTAAACATGTGACTTATTAGAGGCGCATACAGATGAGGTAATAAAAGGGTGGTTTACCACACCGCTAACCACACCCATTTTAGGCAGGACTAAAGACGTATACGGCTGGACGTAAAGACGTATATACGTACGTAGGCAGAACTACGTCACTAGCCAGGCCCACTTTTGGGCATGGCTAGGGGCGTTATGGGGGAAGGCATAAAAGACAGCACACAGGAAGTCTTGGTCTCTTTTCCTGGAGTTCCGCTTCCGGTCCGGCAGCTAGCTGAGAACTGTTTGGCTCCTCTGGGTTTGGTATCTTGTGAGTAATTTTCTACATTAAATACTTAGCTTTACTGTCAGTAATTGTGTGTTGCGTATTGTTACAGCATCCATTTAGCCTACAGTCTGGGATAAAGCCTAGGGCAAATGCCTCAGAGAGCAATCACAATGGGGGTGAGAAAGGGGATCTGTGAGGTCTAGGGCAATGCCTTCACTAACACCAGCAGCAGTCATGACACCACCATTGCTGCTATGCTAGGTAATGTTTAGAACACTCACTCTGAGTTCTGAACCCTGCACCAAATACATTACATGTGTTGGTCATTTAATTAATTCTTATAACTGATGAGGTTAAAAACACCATTATGAGCTGGGTGTGGTGGCATACATTTTTATCCCCAACATCCAGGAGGCAGAGACAAGCAAATCTCTGTGAGTTCAAAGCCAGTCTGGTCTACATAGAAAGTTCCAGGATG